ACCACCACGATAGTACTTCGACATGCCACTTGCGATCGGCAGTGTCTTGGCCATCTTCATGAACGCCGCTCGATTGCGGAGCAAGAGGCGACCAGCGACACCGACTGCAACCAGGCTAACACCGCCAACGATCAGTACCGAAGACATTGCTGCACCGCAATTTCTAATTCATAGAAATCAGTAAGCCTGGAAAAATTCAACAGTTGCGATGCGTACACAACCAAACGAGTTGTTTATCTTTACGACAGCGACACGTTTCTGATCAGGAAAAAGCCAATAATCCAGTAACTAATGGATCACCAGAGAGCAACCACACGGAGTTCGACTTGTCAAAAGAAATGTTCTGAGCGAGTTCCTTCTTTTTTAAGGGGCTCAACGCGATGTGGCACTGCTAGTGAACGAGAAAATATTGGAAAGTGGAAAAGCACAAGCCCAGGTAGCTCCAAACATGTTGAGAAGAGACTGTCCCGCATTTCGTTCGGCTAAGCTTGTGTGGTACGAACCAATGTAAATCTGACCAGTGACTGGTAATGCACTAAATGTCAAGCAACTGTACCCGCAAAAAACAGAAGATGCGCAACTTATAAAATAGGCAGGTAAGGAATGAGAAAACAGACCTATTATTTTTAGCACACACACACACACACACACACAACACACGCATGCACACACACACATAGGCACACATATACGCACAGACACGCATATACACACACAAACACACACACAAATACACACACAAACACACACACAAAAACACACACAAACACACAAACACACACACACAAACACACACACAAACACATACACACACAAATACACACACAAACACATACACACACAAATACACACACAAACACACACACACAAACACATACACACACAAATACACTGTAGCTTTACTTGCAGACTGTCGGTACCCTAAAAATCATACATGGATGAAGATTCATTCACGCGCCGAACTCTCGATGTGCCCGCTGTATTTGTCGATGGATATCAGATATTTTCTTCCAGAAAATTGACAACCCACACATGGAACATTGTCTTTTTTATGCGCGAAATATGGAGAGTGATGGTACTTAGCCGCAACCGGAGAAAACATGCTGGCAGCAGCTGTGGAGTGAGGTTTACCTGCGGCAGGCCGCAAACTAAAGTTACCTGAGAGGGCGCACGTAAAGATCAAAGACCGAAGAAAAATGCAGAAATATCGGAAGGGGAAAAAAAAACTCAATTTTACAGCCTGGCACGATCTGTCCACGTGGTAACACTGAGAGCTTCATTCTAGAAATGCGGACAATTCTGATGAACATAGTGAAGGAGAAATGATGAAATGTACAAAAAAAAAATGATGTAAAATGACGTAATAATGTGAAATACATTAATCCACCCAAGTTATACGTGA